AAGCAAAATTTTTCGAAATTTTACATATGAAATTTAGGTGCATCGATCATTTGATCCCATAATAAAAATTTTACACATGTAATCTGCATAACATCACAGCTGACTGATATAGAAAGTTAGATTTGACTACTATTAATCTTTGAAATTGAGTTATCTAATTTTTCAGAATTATTAAATATAGTACTAATAACCTTAATAGGACTGGTTGCTTGGTCAGAAGTTTTATTAGCAACTTCAGCAATCTTGAACAAAAAATTCTCTTTATCTAATAATCCTAATTTATTTATATAAATTATATTAGCATCTTCACTTATAGAAGTTAAATTTTCAGAGTCTATTTGTTTAGTAGCAATGTCTTTTGCAGTTAAGGTTGTAGGTTTGTTTTGTAATTCTTTAAAGAGTTTTGAAGAAAGAAAAGTTTTAATATTTTTGTTACACTTCTTATTCAGACAAATCTTTTCTCTACTCACTAGATATTTTTCAAGATACTTCTAATGATAAATATACTTATATAATGCTAAGGTGAATTCTTTAAATAGTAAAAATTTCTGAAGTAAATAAAGACTTTTTTAAAGAATGTGGTGACTTAGTGATGTGGTTAAGTTGTCACACCTCCAAGCAGCAGGACAAGAGTTCAAATCCCACTAGCAACGAATTTTAATTTTACAGAATATGTTACAGCAGACTGTGTGTAATGATGGATCATCGGATCTGTAAACTTGGTTGAATCAGGGGTTATTAGGAAGCTGTAGAACTGTAGTGTGATGTATGAGTTATACAAAACCCAAGTGAAATGGCTGTGTAAATTCAGATATTAGACACAAAAGTCTGCTTAGCAAGTCCTGAGTAGAGAGGTAGCACAAATCTTTGATGATATTATGTAAAAGGCTATCTAAGGGATCCAGATACTGATTTCAGTAATCTGAACAAAGATCAGTGTTTGGCAAAGACACTATATCAATCAGGCCGCCAGACAAGTAATCAGAGGAAAAGGACTCAACTATGGGGAGCAGGTGCAAGTCACAGCCTCTCTGGGCTATCTGGATTGGGAGTTTAGATTACTGATAGAACTTAGGTACTGGTGATAGTCTGTAAAATATATACTGGGGTTTGGGTGAACTTTGCAAAGGCAGAAGTAGGTAATAGTAGCAGCTTTGGCTTGCAAGTACTTGTCCTCGGACTCGGTGTAAGTTATCGAAGTCTAGGTTAGCCAGATTGTGAGTATGGAAAGCTCTAGCCAATGACATCTTGAGAATAAATTAGTCTTAAGGATATCAAGAAAGCATCCAGAACTTTTTATAACAGGTAATTGTGGTGAGAATATATCAGTGATACAAGCTGAGTTTGCATATAAATGTATCAGGGTTCTATAAGCGAGCCTCTCACCTATATACTTAAATAAAAACTGTAATCCCAAAGAGGCTAATTATAAAATTAAAAAAAAATAAAAATAAAAATAAAGACCTTCTTTATATAACAAATATGAGTCTACTTCTGAGAAAACAGTATTCTCAAAAAGAATATTTGTTCTTTTGAGAATATTAACTGCAAAAACTTCAATAGAAGTTGTATATATACTGCTTTATATTTATAGCTGAAGAGTTTTGAACAAAATTTATACTGATTTATTTTTATAATATAAATATATCTAGAAGAAAGCAATACCCAAATTATTACTAGCAATTATATACTTCATTTTATTATTTACAAATTAATTAGTATGAATATAGATTATTTATCTGATAGTAATCATAATGATTTACAAATTGGCAGTTTATTATTTGAATAAAAAAGTAATGATTTGATTTAGACAGAAAAAATAGATTAGTAAAATTATCAGCATAAATTATTAATAAAAAGAAAGGAATATATACTTCATAGATTTTTATTTTATATTGATACTTTTCTATTTGTGTTAAAAAATAGATCACTTATTTGTGATCTCTAAACTAGTAATCACTGCTTTAGACTAGAGATGCAAACAGCTTGAGCTAAACTTTGAGCTAAACAGTTAAGCTAAGTCAATGATCAATTTAGCTTCAGGTCTACTAATAAAGTATTAACTCTAAAAATAGCTTAGCTTAAAATTCTGAAGCCAAACATAAAGTTATAAGCTGATAAATCTAAATCATATATCTATTATCTAATAGTAACTAATTAATTAATTAATATATGATTTTAACTAATTATCTGACAATTCACAAGTTTTTTTTTTTTTTTTTTTTTTTTTTAGCCTCTTTGGGATTACAGTTTTTATTTAA